TGTGAACCTCCACAAGCCTGGTTCATCCTTGGATACAATTTCCAGATGCTTGAATGTTCCACATTCATCTATTCAATTATACGCAAGTATAATTGAATAGATGAACAATTATATGTAAGTATAAACACCATGGGAATGTCCAGCCATCATACCACTCAGGAAGGAGATGGGTTCGGTGTCCAGAGATTAAGCGTTTGGGTGAGAAATGTGCGTATCAACCCCAGAACAAAAGCAAAAGATCTTGTGAAGATGCTGCTGAAGCTGGTAAGAGAGTCATTATTCACAGTGAAACCAGGAGAAATGGACCATAATTCATCAAACTATTGTGAGAAGCTTGTCGAAGGAAACCCAAACTGTTTGAGTTTAAAGACAGCTAGTTAACATCAAATCACAGCTTAATGCCTGTAATTGTAGCATACTACAATTAATTTCACTGTTAAAAATATGTAATTGTTGCTTCATCACCCAGGCTGGTCTCTTCCAGAATTCTAATGCTCTCATCCACAGGGCAACAGAATGGTTTGATGAGATGAAAAAAAGAAGTGAATTACATGCCATGGCCTTCACGGTCACTGGATCTCAACCCAGTTGAACACATATGGGAGATTGTTGACTGACATGTTACGTCCATGACCATCAAGTCACTAAATATCTTTTGGAAGAACGGTGTTTCATCCTTCTAGTAGAGTTCAGACTTAGAGAATCAATATCAAGGTGTACTGAAGCTGTTCTGATGGCACATGGTGGCCCAACACCTTACTAAAACATTTCTTTTTGGTTATTCTTTTAACTTATCATGCATCTATATCTTCATTTCACGTTGTTATTTGATTATCATTGCAGCAAAAAGGAAAAAGCATTTTGTTCAGTAAGCAGAGGCAGACCTTCTGTTATGTATTGGGATGCATGTTTTACCATAACCATAGCCAGATGTGTAATATGTTTCCACACTGGGCAACTATGGAGTGCTGAGCTCTGGCTTTGTCCTGCAGGGCCCACATATATTTCACATTAAATTAATTCTCAGGGAAATCGTTCTCATTTTGAACCAGGAAATGGGGGACTATGTCGGGATGTAGTGGAGGCTGAACCCACACGAACAACATTCATCCTGTTGCTTATATGCATATAGGGCTTTGCGACTGCTGATGTTTTGTAGTTTTGATGAAGACTCAACAATTGGAGATGATATTTAGCCTTTACTTTTTATTTAGCATCCTACCACTGTGTCTTTTCATATATCAAAGATACATAAGAAGGGTTTTCCTGATGGATTTGTATGTTGCTGCATTATACAGTTAAAGCAATGGAGAAAAGCGAATTAAATAATGAAAGAGTTCACCAAAACAGTCTCCTTGATCTTTCTCCTGCCCTCAACTTACTTACAAATAAATAAATTAATAAATTAATAAATAAATAAGGGCTGCAAGGTTGGTTACACTGTTGCCTCGCAGCAGGAAGGTCGCCGGTTCGCATCCCGGTGGGGGCGCCAGGATCTTTCTGTGTGGAGTTTGCATGTTCTTCCCGTGCAGCGTGGGTTCTCTCCGGGTTCTCCGGCTTCTCCAGCCCAAAAAAAACATGTTGAGGTTAATTGGTGATTCTAAATTGTCCGTAGGTGTGAATGTGAGTGTGCTTGGTTGTCTGTCTCAAAGTGTGGCCCTGTGATAGACTGGTGACCTGTCCAGGGTGTCCCCTGCCTTCACCCTAAGTCAGCTGGGATAGGCTCCAGCCCCCCGCAAGCCTAGTGAGGATTAAGCGGTGTATAGATAATGGATGGATGTTTACTTTTGTTTTCTACCACTATTTCATCAGGTTCAGGAAAAGGTCACGTTTAGGGTTAAAATACGACCTTTTCACAACATGTTTGAAGTTTCTCCTCCAAGTTCTGGGTTACCAGAGTGATGAGTCCTGCCACACTAATATATGATCGGGTGGCTGAAAAGAAGTGCCAATAAAGTAATAAAATAAATGAGGTATTTGTCCATCCATCCATTATCTATACGCTGCTTAATCCTCACTAGGGTCACAAGGAGCTGGAGTCTATCCCAGCTGACTTAGGGTGAAGGCAGGGGACACCCTGGACAGGTCAACAGTCTATCACAGGGCTACACTTAGAGACAGACAACCAAGCACACTCACATTCACACCTACTGACAATTTAGAATCACCAATTAACCTCAGCATGTGTTTGGACTGTGTGGGAGGAAGCTGGAGAGAACCCACGCTGCACAGGGAGAACATGCAAACTCCACACAGAAAGATCCCGGGTGTCCACCTTGCAGCCCTGACGTATTTGTGATACGTCACAAACATAATCAAGAAAAACAAATACTTTCATTAAAACATAGTTGAGTAAGCAGTTCAGTTAGTAAAGGAACTTGATTCTAAAGAGCAGGTCGCATGCATTTGATTGATTGATTGATTGATTTTTTTTCTGCTATGTCAGTCTGTTTGCTTGTGGGGTCAAAATAAATCCACATAAATATGCCTAAGTATATTTTTTGGTGTGTGTCCATGTGTGTAGGATTTTTTTTTCCTTTTTGACTTTTTAAAAAAATTTTGCCTGCAAATCAAAGTTATACATGATTATATGATACCACTAGATAGATAGATAGATAGATAGATAGATAGATAGATAGATTTTTTATTGTCTGTCTGAGCCTGACCTTTGGTGATTGGCTGGATGAAGTCACGTGATTCTGGCACCTGCCATTTTTAAAACCTGTTACCATATATGGTTCCTCGCCTGATAAAGGGTTAACACACCATACAGACTAGCACAGCAAACCGTCTATTGTTCTCTTTCCTAACACAGAACACAGAGCTTTTACATCCTCTGACTACCGTTTGTCGTGGTTTTGACCTACTTGGAGTCAAGGTTGAAGCTGTTGGATCCCACATAGCAATGGAAGAAGACCAGCTGAATGAACCAATTATCGGGCCTTTGCTGTGAATGTTTGCGCCACCTTGTGCCTGCACTGCGTTCCAGGTGTGCTCCCTTGTAGTCAGAGGACTTCAGTAGCAAAGTGAAGTGTGTTCTTGTTGAAAGCATTACTACAAGCTGGCATGTTTTTATGCTTTCACATCCACAAGCAAAAATTATTACCCTGGGTGTGATTATTCTTTAATACCATTCAAATGTAAGCGAACAAAGTGCATCTAATAGAAATCATTCAACAGTCCAGGTGCTGTGATCACTTAATAGTTCCTTGTGGCACCCCTCCACCTTTCCTCTAGTGTTCTTCCATCCAGCAGAACAGTCATGCACTTTCCATTCCCACGCATTAAACATCTTCGCGGTCAAGGAGCAGATCAGTCTTATCAAATACCTGCACCAACGCGCTCCAGAAATCTGCAGTTCATTTGCAGCTAATGCGGTTGCCGTGTTGATTTGTTCCTTACGTGTATTTTCTTTCCAGTCTGTTTATCATCTGCATTATTCATCCTACATGACCTCATAACTGGCG